CGTGGAATGCTTTTTAACTGGCTATAAGTTCTAATAAAGCTTTTCACATGAAGACCATGAATAATAATCAGATATTGTGTTCATTTTGATATAATACTTTTGTTTTTCTTATTCAAGTTTATTTAAACGTTTAAAAAGAAAATATAAATCAGCAATAGCAACAATGAATGCACAGAAAAGTCCAAATGATATTTGTAAAACAAAATTTTTTGTTCCAGTTGAATATTCAATTGCTTTATAACCAAATACAAATGCTCCGCCGATAGTTAAAAAAACATTTGCAACAGTTATTAATTGTCCTTGTACCGATTTCATATCAGGTATAATGGAATCTCCAGATTTATTTAAATATAATCTATTTAAATTAACATTTTTTGTCATTTCATCATATTCACGATTAGCTTGTTCAGCTTTTAATTTTTCAATACGTTCATTTAATTCAGGATTTCGTTCTGGTTCAATATAAGGTGGTACAAATAAATCACAACCAGCTAATATTTCATGAAGATAATTTTCTTTATTCGATAATTTATATGCATCGATTAAAATTGTAGCTGGAATATATTTTGTTACTTGTGATTGAAGAATATTTTCAATTTGTTTATAATTATTTGAATTTTTATTATCAATTTTTTTTAAAACATTTTCTAAGAATTGTTCAATGGAAGATGTTCGTTCGATTTGAACAAGATTCATATTTTAATTATGAATAAATAATTGAAAACCAATCCAACTAAAACCGTAAAGTGTTAAAGCAATAATAATTGTTGACGGAATAAGAAGAAGATAATAAATAAAAATACTAGAAAGTATTATCATTGAATAAATATATCGTTTAATGATATCTAAATTTCAAAGTAAATTTAGTATTTATTTTTTTTTCTTTTTTCTCTCGAGTCAATGTCATATGACTCATCATTTTTACCGATTGGATTTTGATAAAATGAGTTTAAATTTGTGTGGTATTTATTTGATTCGTTGATTTATAGTCTATGAGTAGGTGTGAAAAATGACGAATTTTTCTAGGTTAATGTAACTAAAAATGATTAGGTAAAAATTTCGCAGAAAATCAATCTATTTTTTTTTGACTCTAATAAAAATCGAATCGATTTCTGATGTCAAGCAGTTTTCGAAATATCTTAAAAACTAGCGCCATCTACGACAGAATTTTACTCATATCTACAGAACCGTCTTTCATCAGAAACTAAACCAAAGATTTTTGCAGTCAAACAAATTAAATCAATTTTCTGTGAAAGTTTCATCCAATCATTCTGAGTTTAACTGAACTCCCAAATAATCACACCCTTTATTACCAGCTCACAAACCAAAAAATATTGAAGTCTTTGTTCGTCTAGATCATTTCTAAGGTTAAACATGTCGAATAAGGCAGATTTACAACGTAAATTAAAAGAAATTGGTTATGAAATTGGACCTTTTGCATCAAAAGATACATTATCAAATATAATACGTCTTCATTCATTGGTAAGAAAAAATATTTTTCTTTGTTTTTTTCCTCTTTATTTTTATGGTTTTATTCATTAGGCTGTGCAAAATAAAGGTGTCGATGTTGCAAAATTAAGTGATCTTAATCTTCGTAAGAGTCTAACTGAACATGGTCTTGCTGTTGGACCTGTAACAAGTGAAAGAAAAAAAATTATTTTCTTTTTTTTTTTTATTAAAGATATATTAATCTTTTTGTTAGATCATACTCGATCAATTTATCAACGTAAATTACTTGAAATATTAACAAATGAAACAAGTGAAGGTAAAAATGAATTATTTGTAACTTTTTGAAAAAAAAAGACATTTCATTTGTGTTATTGGTTTTTAAAGGAAAAGAAGATGAATTCGAAACAGAAATATCAATATCAACAACACCACCACGTACTACACGCAGTTCAATAGCTCGGTAAATATAAATATCAAGAATATCAGTGGTGTGTGTAGGGTGAAGACGAAGGCCGCCTTCTTCTTTGAAATTCATCTATTCTATACCCTAAGTATCTTTATATTTCTATGAGATCTATATAAACACATAGTATGCATTTTTCACTATTTTTAAGTTCTCTTCTCGATGTTAACAGCTAGCAAAAAATCTGAAAAGCCTTTGTGTAGCTGAAAGGATTTTTCTATTAGGATTGGTAGGCTCGAAGACTCTAACAAACTCTTTGGATGATGATCTTTAGAAGGCCAAGATTCTCAAAACTAGATTTCTGGTTTCTATTCGAAAATTTTTGGAAAAAGATTTTGTTTGATAGACAAATATGAGACATCTCCAATCTCTTCATGACCTTTCTTCATCGAACTACATTCCATGTACAGAAATCCAAAGAAGCATTTTTCTCTCGTTTTTGCTCTGTTTGACGCTTTGGATCCTTCTGTAAATTGAATGCATTTTGATGAAGCAAGATCATGGAGATATTGGAGACGTCTAACTTTGTTTAGAATCCTTTGCTCTATCAAATAAAATCATTTCCTAAAACCTTCGAATGGAAGCCAAAAAGTTAGTTTTGACGGTCTTGGTTTTTCGCAGATCATTATTCAAAGCAATTTTGTTGAAATCTTCGGACCTACCAATCTTGATAGACGATCCTTATGACTGGTATGAAATATTCTTTCTCTTGTTCGATATAACATTTATTCCTGTTACACAGCTTATGAGCGTTTGTAGAGTTTTATATTGAAATAACCAACGATCATGTTAACAGTTCATATGTACTCATTCTGTTGATAATTAATAAGTGTGGAACTCAGAAAAAAGGTTTACGTAATTCATGTTCAATGCAACGTTACTAGTGACAACAACTGTAGGTGAGCGAAGTCTTTTCGACAATCATATCTTCAAAGTATCATATGTGAAAATTGTCTGAATAGAAAATAGAACACTAGAATTTCTTGTATGATTTGTTTCTGAGTTGTTTTTATTTCCATAGATCGTAGCATATATTTGACAAGTTGATATTAGAAAGCTCATTATGAAAACTGTCAATAACTTTTACCTATTCTCTATTCTTTTCAAAATATCCTGGATTCATCCCTGAACAATATGATATCTTTCAAAATCTTTTAGAACTGCAGATAATGATATAACATCATCACCTGGACGTTTATATACACAAAATGTACAAGAACCACGTATAGCATTAACTCGTGTTGATTTTGAGGAGAAAAAGAAACATAATTTATCATCTTATTATCCAAATGTATCAAGTACAAAACCAAAATCTGAACAATCAATAACACATTCATATTCACCACAACGTTCATCAATAAAAACGGAATCACATCATAGTACAATGTCATATGGTTTAAGAAATCCATATGATTTTCAAAACGATGAACCAACTATAATTCGACATGAACATAAAGCAACACCATTTCGTACAACAAATATTTCATCAGATGAAACATTTCCTATGAATACAAATCGTTATACAAAACAATCGGATATACAAACAACAACACGAAATGATTTAAATGAAATTCGTTCACGAATTTTTACAAATACAAATGAAGAAAAAGAAAGTCAAATTAGAAAAGATTTAACACCAAAAAAAAGCACATTTATTAATCAATTGGAAAATAAAAAATTATCAAATAATAATGAAAAACTTGATGTTCCTGTCAAAAGTAAATATAATTTCATAATATTTTCTTATTAAATTTTCTTTTCGTTTAGGTAGTGGAACATTTCTTTATAGTGGTATTACAATTGCTGTTGCATTAATCGTCTTTGTACTTTATCTGTGGCTTGAAAAGTGACGTTTATCTTTTTTTTTCTTCTCCTTATCATAGTTAGGAAAACATCTTTCTTTCTTTTTATTAAATTGTCTTTCTTGTTCTCGTTTGTCAGAAACTTCTATAAATATGTGTATGTCTTGTGATTAGTGATCTGATAGTTAAATCAAACTGCTCGATTATACGATTCTACAGATCTCTGACAATGTATTAATTTTTTTTGTCTTTTCTTGTATTTGATAATGCGTTAGTGGGTTATTTTTTGTATTTGAAGATTACGATAAAAAAAAAGAAAGCATACGAAATATTATTACAACGATTTTGTACAGGATGACCTATAAATAACTAGACGATAAAAAACCTCAATATCTTTCGTCTACTTGAATTAATCAGGCTGAGTTTTTTCTCGATGATAGAGGTCTCTTCAAAGTTTTTATTAACAAAGAAACGATCAATAGATACTGCTTTGAGCTAGTACTATTGACCTCAATCAAGAAATAAACTACTGGCCGAAAGTATCACTGTGTGATCTCAGTTGTTCTTAAGGTATTTCCCCGTAAAAAACATTTAATTTTCGTCAAAACAATGAAAATTAAGATAGATGGATGTAAAGATAGCTTGAGGTTGCCAAAATTTTCGATGATTTCGACATCTTATGCTTTTTTGATCACATATCCCAGATTTCGCTGTGAGCCTTCATCCTATATAATTAATTTTTTTTGTTTGAACGAGTATGTCAGGTGCAGTGCAGTACAGAGTTCTTTTTTATAATTAAACTTTGTTATTATTATATACACAAACACTTAGATAAATAGACATCCATTTTTAGAGAGTTTTTTTACTCATCGAACTTGTGATTTGTTTTCTTCGCTTAAAAAATAGGAATTAAAAAAATAAAGCTCTGCACTGCGCTGCATCATAACATGTTCTTTCAAACAAAAAAAACTAAATTTATAGAATGAACCTGGACAGAAATTTTGTTTGCCAAATAAACTATTGTTGACACTTGTTTGGTGAATGTCTCTGTTAAACACCATTGTATAGAGCTGAAAATTTAACCAAAGTCTCTCCATTATAGCTCCAACATGTCTATCAAATTTCAGACGATTTGAATGTACGTGGTGCGAAACCGATTATTTTGTGTGGAATAGATCTTAAGGTTAAACATTTGAAATTTTTAGTATATGTGCTCCTGAGAAATATAGGCTCACAAGATTAGCCTGATTCTGATCGCTTGAATTAATGAGAAGATATGATGTATGATATCTCCTCTTATTATGAGTTCTTTAATTTAAGAAGAGAAGAAGCTTATGACCTGATGCACATATCATTATGTAAAATATCCACAGCTTTTGAATACTTCAATGAAATTTTTAGCGTATATAGTCACATTAAAAAACTACGTGATGGTAAATTCGGTGAATCATAAGCTTCTCTGCTTCTTCAATTATAGGATTCACAGTGAAAAGATTTGTCATAGAGCATAATTTCCCTTTGACTTAAGCAACTGAGGCCGAGTTGATTGTATTGATCTACATTTCTAAAGTAGTACATATGCTAAAAATTTCAAATATTTAGTTCTAAGAATGACTGAGATTGTTATATGAGTCAGTTTCGATCAATAATGTATTTCCTAGTA